TACAAAATGTAACAAATGAAAAAAAAAAAAAAAAACGCATTCCCGAGCTAGACCTTTATTCCCCCCGTTGATGCGAGTAAAAAAAAAAACTATTGAAAAAGGGGACTACTATCAGCAGCTACATCCCTGCTAAACTTATCTCAAGCCACAAGAGCAAACGCGTCGAGAAATCCTCGACAAGGATAAAAATTATTTTTTACTAAAACTTGTACACGTGTGATTCGACGTATGGAGCCGGGATTACGTTGGTTCATGGCATGTGTGAGCACACCTTTTGTAAACTCGTAGAAATTATTTGCAAGGCACGTTAGTAAATTATACAAGGTGCGACGGAGACGACTAATGGGGAAGGAAAAGCCAGAGTACGTGTGTAGCCCATCCCTCGAAACGAAAGGAGCACTTGGAAACTTTTTCGAAGAACGAACGGGCAGGTGCCGAGGGCCTGTCATCGATAAATATCGATCCGCGTTTAATGCTCTCCAAGGGAACGGGTATACCCCTCTGCCTTTGGTACGTTTATACTGTTGCTCGCTCGAGGGGAAAAAGGGAGACCCGATAATACATATATGTTTATGGTCTATGTACGACCGAGTCGTCTTGTATGCACGTTTCATCCTTTCATATATTTATTACATGGTTTGTTCGAAATTTTTACAATGTATATACGACATGCCATCTTTAAAAAAGAGCTTGGGTTGCTGGTATGATTGTTTTTTTTTTTTTTTTTTTTTTGTAAAATCAAACGTGCAAAATAGTACGTTACAGTACAAAGAGTTTTTGTAAAGTTTTAAAAAGTGGCATTCTGGCAATGGGAGAGAAAAGAGAGAAAGAGAGATAACAATCTTCAATGCGAAGGTTGAAATAAAAGTGGCCTCACTTGAAAACTTACAAAAGGAGGGATGGAGAAAGTAACGCCCGAGTCGTCTAAAAATATCAGGTTTACTTCCTAAAATAGCTCAGTTTATTACAACATGAGAAGAGAATGTCGATAGCGTCGAAAAAAAAAAAAAAAATATTAAAATGGATATCCTTTTTTTTTCGTAATCTCTCTTATTTTCTACCCAATTATTGTTACAAAAAATTTGAAATGAAAAAAAAAAACTCACCCCTCGCTCAACACGAAGCACTAAATTTATCTACAAATCCATGTGTTGTATTATACATTGATAAGTACTGGAGATGAGGAAAAACTTCAATAGCGCAGGTGGATAATTCGGATGAACTAAAAATGACAATAACTCGTTCAAAAACAGTACTTTACGTATAGGTAGGTAAGTACATACTTATCCTTCAAGGGTATTCCGATCGAAATCAATTACGCGGCTGTTGTTTTCCCGTTGTTTTGGCTCCTCGCCACGCACACCCTTGTAACCCCGTACTCGTACGAAACAAGTTTTTACCTCATCGGGTCGAGGATCGGAATGAAATAAGACGTCATGAGTACATGTGGATGCGAGCAACCACGAGAATACTATATCGATCATCTGCACGCAACAACAAAAGCGTGACGCTAAAAATCAAAAAACATTCCGCAGATGTATGTTTAATCGATTCCACATAAAAGAGCGGCAAAGGTGCAACGAGTAATTAAAAAAAAAAAAAAAAAAAAAATGGTCTAACGAGCGCGCGTCACGATTATACTACGTGCGCATCACTTTATTTGGAGAGCTTTCGTGTACGAGGGAGGAAAATAAAGGGAATTAAAATAAAATGTCGCGCTGCACACGTGGTCGCTCAAAAATAAACACAAGACGCAGAGGTCAAAGGAAGTGCCCCTTTACTCCTTTCCTTTGATTTTCAGGGCCGCTTCCGCGTGACCTTCCCAACTTACGTATATACTTACAATACAATACTGTCAACTTACTTTTTCGGCCTCTCCCCACATCGAACCCACGAGATCCTCGTGACTGTTATATATTTATTTTAAAAACTTTTCAAATCTTTGCAGTTGCACGGCACGCGCGGGTCGTTATCGTCACGGTGCCTTTTTTTTCCCTCCAAGAATTAGCTTGGGTATACGTAACAAGGGTACGCGTGTTATTATATTGATTGACTTTCATGTTACAGGCATACGAGAATAGGTTCGATGGAGGCTATGAAATGTATGACGTATAAGAAACATATCATGAAAGAACTTTCGTTGTTCTGGAATAGTGCAACTTTAACGTTTCGTACCACTCGAATGAAGCACCTTTTCCTTGCAAGCTCGCATTAAAAAAAAAAAAAAAAAAACCCCACACATCGGTCACGTTGGATTTTCTTTCCAAAGCCAGTAGGCGCTCATCTTACAAAGAGCACGTGAAACAACAACAACAACAACAACAACGCATCCACTTGAGGATGGCTAGAAAAAAAAAAAAAAAAAAGAAAAACAATCACTCGGAGCTTTTTTTTTTGGTTCACAAAGACTCCACGATCGCAATTACGGCCGACTTGCGAGCATCGGCGAATCGAACGAACTACACGCAACCAGGTGTTCTTTCCTCTTGAGTAAGTATATACGCAGTAGGTATATAAGGACGAGGTGCGGGGGGGGGGGAGGCAAGGGCGTCGAAATCGCAAGCGCACGCTTTCGCCTAATAATAAAGCTTCGTCGTATACATACATTATATACACACCCACACATTTATATACATATACATGTAAGGTGGAGGGTTAAAGTTGGCTTTGCGTGCACATCCTTGACGCGCTATCGCAGCTAATACATGTGTACTTGCATAAATATACATGGATACACCCACACCCAGCTAGCCGAAGTTCAAAGGTCGAAAGTCGTGTGCGGAGTATATAGCTTTTGTTTTCCATTTTCATTGTTTCAATTTTCAATGGTCCCCTCATGCATGCACGGTTTTAAAAAACGCACACATACGGCAGTTAATATCATCGCGCGGTCGAAAATGAATTTGAATTCGAATTTTCGAGAAATTCACCGCACCGGGGGATAATAAATTTAACCTGCAGGACAGCGAACGCGTTTTGCGGGTGCAATAAAAAAAAAGTTTATGCATTACGTATATGTGTGTGTACAAGCGTGCGCTGGGCCATCAGCTTCCGGATAGGCGTATATAAATGGGTATACATGTAGCGTTATATATATTGATCTAATAAACTCTTTTTTTTTTATAACAGCACCGAGTTGCGCTTGACGCCACACAAGCCCGTGCGACACGAAAAATTTATATTTAAACTTGACGATTGCCTCGAATAGTTTGCCTTGCAATTATAGCATTGTTTCGCGGGAAATCAAAAGAAACGGCTGCACGGCGCATATAATATATAAAAGGGGTATAGGTATTCGTGCAGCGCTTTGACCGTTTCTGTATGACGCGCGCTTGCGGAGTTGCTTTTCTTTTTTTTAAAGTCTAATGAAACAAATGACTTTCACGGAATTTTTGTACATGGATATAAATATGTGTATGTGCTGTTTAATCGATACGGCAAATAAAACACGTAGGTACAAGTAACTCTTCTTCCCTGTGCCATTTATGTACGCAACGTGTTTCATAATACGTTATCCTACCTGGTGGGTATAACCTTTGGCGCCTCTTTCGATTTACCGGAAACAATTGTCGCGTTTGGCTTGGAAAAATCAATATATTGTTAAAACCTGAGTTTATTTCTCGTATAGTAAATTTTTTTTTTTTTTTTTTTTTTTTGCAATGTGATCCAAACGAGGTTCTACGTGACATGATTTACAAAGTTGGGATCATCACCGAGCATACTTGAATAGTTTTCAGTTCATCCATGCGCGAGTCATGCATTTTCCGATTCTTTCCATCAACACTCCGTGTGTTCCTCGAAAAATGTTTCGCCTTGCTTACGTGGCAAGTGATGAAAAAACAATATCTTATCAGCTCCCACCCTCCTCCCCCTCTCTTACGAAAAAAAAAAAAAAAAAAACAATCCTTAGTGTTGTTGAATTTCTCCTTTATCCTAACAGTATAGTGCGTCTGTGGCTATACCAGCTATGCGGCCCTCATTCCTCGAAAATAACCCAACGAAGATCGAGATTATCGGAGTGCATTGTACGCAAAAGGAAGATCTGTCGACACTCGGCTATAAGTACTGTATATGTTCCTCATGGAAGATTTCTCTTTTTTTTTTATATTATATATTGGGACGTTGTAAAAGATCGGTATTCGTGGTTATTTACAAAATCGCGACTTGGAGGCTTTGACTATATATATACGATATTTTTGAATTCACCCATCAGCGTTTTATATATACTTACTCGACTCTTTCAGACATGTACGTCAAAGTGTGTAACGTGAGAAAAAACGAAACACATTGTACTCGTGTAAATCATACATCCGGCGATATCTGAATATTATAACTATAAAAAAAGGTCGCATTGATAAAAGGCTCCGTTCCAATTTGAAAACCAATTGAGATTGAAAAACTTGTCTTGCACAAGTTTTGGTAATATAACAAGATAACGATTCACATAAAATCGCTTAAGTCGGCCACTTGAAAGTTCGCAGATGACCGTTTAACCAATGTACCGTCATCTTGTCAACATATTGAAACGCCCAACCAATTGGAAGAATCGATCATGTGGGTATGATTTTAATTTTCCTCGAAACCACCGAACCGCTCGAAAATCCAAAAGCTCACCGATAACCCATATTTCCTGAGAGCCCAGGGACACAAAGGTACGATTCTCTTATCGATACGCAGAGGAGAAGAAAAAAAAAAAGACGGGGGATTTTACGCGTACACCGTGAAAAACGTGTATAATCGAGCAGGCGCGCATCTTCGAAAAATCTAAAAAGATATATATATATATACATTGTACAAGAGCACATATGGACGCATAGGAGGAGGAGAGAGCAAAAGACCGAGGAGGGATGGATGGATGCTGAAATAGTCGAGGACGACAACTCGTGTGTGTGTGTGTGTAAACACTTGCACGCACACGGTGCACAGGGTGTATGTATGGAAACGGGTGGGTCTTGGGCCATTTTGCTTTATACGCGCGCTTGCTCTCGGCGAGCTTACAACTTGCTCCTGCTGTTGCTGCTGTCGTTGCGGAGTTTTAATTGGCTTTCGTATACGAACGAATGGAAGTCGATACTCTATGCGTACATTTTCTTTTTTTTTTTTTTTTTTTCTCCAGTTTTGAGTGGTGAAAAGTGGCATCTTTGGTGGCTGTGACGTTAAAGTGCTTTTGCACGTGTAAAGGATCGAAAGGTGCTCCTTTGAAAGGATCATTATCAAGTACGTGTGTTATTCTGATTTCTAAGATGTTTTTTTTTTTAATTTTTCCCCAAGTCATTTATGCAAAAGCTCTTCTAGAGGAGTATCACCCAGAGCAAGAAACATTGAAAAATAAGTAGTTTAGTCGGGATCGCGATGTTTTTTCAAGGTTTCTTCGATGTATTCGGGACTTGAAACTGCATGGTGATCATAAAATTGGATTAATAAAGAAAAAAGAAGAAAAAAAAGTGTGTGTGTGTGTGGTTCGATAAGTTTTGTTGAAAAACGTATCGCCCGAGAGCGGCCAACTCGCGAGCTCATGCTCCACATTAACTTGGCTTTTAAAAACTATTTTTAATCGCGCGCAGACATCGCGCCACGAGTACGTGCGTATATACATGCAACATAAGCACATGTTATATATGGTTCCTCTGAAATTTTCAGCTCAATGTTGATGCTCCGGTATTTTGTTGTTTTTCCTCTCTCCTCTCTGTAAGCTGTGAACATTTTTTCCGAGTTGCAGTTTGTTCATGGGACGGAATTACATTTTCTAACCGAAGAGCGTATAGTTTTTTGTAACGCTTTTATGTGAATGATTTTACACTTTACAAGGGGGTACTTATCAATTAAACATATGGAAAAAGGGTTGTTTCAACATATTTCATGTGTATAAAAATGATTAAAAAAATACACACGTATAAAATGTAAAATTACCCACATAAAAGGGAGTAAAAAGTGTTACAGAAAATAACCCACTTTGATTTGCAGTGTATAGATCGTTTATAGACGTGGTTTTAGTTTTTCTTTCGAATTAATTTGCAAGTAAGTTTAAAATGTCTTACGGTATATAAGAGAGTCAAAAGTCTATATGAAAAAAAAAAAAAAAAAATCTAGAGTAATGGTTTGAGCGAAAAATTTTTGAAAACCGAGGGAACAAACAAGATTCCGCGAAACAACAAAACGTTTATTTATAAATGTCAGTCCCACTTCCCGAGTCGAGAAAACAATTAATGACAGTGGCGAAAAATGATGTAAGTAATCGTCAATGCCAAACAAAAAGAGAATACCTGCGGGTACACATATGCGCTCAAAAAAAAAAAAAAAAAAAAAAAGTAACAATGAAAATCTTAATCCTTCGACGCGTTCTCAAGTGGAATCAAACTAAAATCCCCCATATGAGCACGACTCGCGACGATTTCGTGGAATTAATCTGCAAATCCTCGGCATCGTATGATAAAAACTCGCTCTTTCGCCCGACGACATCCGGTGTCGCGTATAACCCTCGGCTCTTTGTCTCTGTACGCGCGCACGTAACGTATACACCCGCATCAGTCATACCCTGCACCATACGAAATGATATAACATTATACACACGTATGTATATATATATATATATATATATATTGGCGCGTAAAGGAGTCGCGCGCTATTTAGAGTTGAAGGAGCATTTCTTTGTAACACCCGTCGACGTAACGCGATATTTATTATAATATGTGTATATCGTTTGGGTCCAGCGAGAGAGAAAAAAAAAATACGTACAGCCGCGTCAGTGTATTAACTTGATATACCCTCCCCAGCCCCCGCGTTCCGGACCAATCAAATGCTAAACGGAAACCCAGCGTGTCACTCGAGTAAAAGCACAACAATGTGTCCTATATATTGTATGTACATATTAAAAAAGCTCTGCTTGAGATGCTGATGAAGCGTGCAATGCCACACATATATTATAATAACGTGTTCGCGTGTTTTTTTTTTTTTTTTTGTTTGCTTTGTACATCCACGGCATATAAATATATGTTTATGGCTCATTCAAATGAATGATGGAAGATTTTGTGGTGATCGAAGTATAGATCGAAGAGCCACGAATTGTCCGATGATCGAGCGAGGGTGTCGACAGCAGCAAGGGTGAACATTGGCCAATCCTTCCCCTTTGTATACGGAGCACGGGGGTAGATGACCATGGCGACCTGCAGGCAGCCTCGAGCTGCGTCTCACCACCACCACCACCACCACCTGCAGGTACTTTCGGGGGTGCAACAACAGGCTTATCATCAGCCGGACTTTGCAATGGTGAGCAATGGCCTGTCTTCGTCGAGGCAGAGCTTACAGCACCTTCGGTATTCGCCGCAGATCCTCGATATGGTCTACTTTGCCTTAGCCGATCAGAATCAGCATCGACAGGCGGAACAGGTGCGTTTGGTTTTGTTTTTTTCCTCTTCCGGGTGCAATTGGTCGAGGAACGAATTTTATACTTTTTTTTTTTTTTAACTTTTCCGACGATTCGCGAGACGCGAAGAATTAAAGGATATCTTGCATTGTCGGTAAACATCTTTTTTTTTTCTTATTCTTCTTTTGCATATTGAAAACAATCACAATATCAAGAGAATCGTTGGATTCGTTTTCGTCGTTTTAATACGATTATTGCTTTTGTTGTCCTTGTAAAACGTCACTTACCTTGTATCGGAGTATATAATTTTTACTTTTTTCCTTACCACTCGGTGTAATGAACCTTGCGTTTGAACGTTCCCACGTAGAGCTTTGAGACTCTAGGATTAAAAAAAAATCTTGTTTAAAAAAAGTATAAAAAAAGGCTCATTTTTACTTACGTTGATTCGTGGTTGGGGAAAAAAAGAAAGAACAAAAAAGTTTTGCAAAACCTAATTACCTTCAGTTTGTCATTTCAGTTGAAATAAACGCATTTAATTTGCAGAGCAAACTAGTATCGGGGCTGTGGAACAGCGCTTTTCCGGGAAAAGGCCTCACGGAGAGCATCAACGATGTCGCCGACTACTTTAGCAATCTAAACTTAATCGACAAAAAACATAACAAAAAACCTCCGACCGATTACATGTGCCACGTGTGTTTTAGCACACAACACTACATTAAGGACTGTCCGAAGGTAAGTCTTTTTTACATCCTTACCCCAATTAATTTGTGCTCCGATTGAGAAATTCGGTGGTTCAATCATTTTTCTTAGTCTGAATTTGATTGTAAAATCAATATCAGAGGCTGAAACGGTGTAAATTGATGCACTGTCTTGTTTCATTGTATCGTATCGTTCAAGAAACCCAACAGAGACTTTTATAAATTAAAAAAACAAACAAAAAATTATTTATTCATTCTTACACTAAATATACACAGAAACATAATTCAAACAGCTCGTAGTTATCCTTTTATTAAAAAATATAAGGATAAAAATAGTAGCGATCCTCGATGATTTAAATACAAAAAAAATGTGCGTTTGGGAGGCGCATCAACGATCCCAGAAAGACAATAGAAATATCATCGAATGATCAACACTAGTATAATATTTTGTGAAAATTTATTTGAGAATCCAAGCTTCCCTTCACCTGTCAATCGCACACGAGCACGTATTTGAAATCTTTGGCTCGATGCCATCACATGGGTATCGCATCAGCGCCCGCCTCGCAGTGACACAACATACTTACGTGTCCGACCCACGCTTTACCGGCTGATATTATTTCGAATAGTTTTTAAAGGTATAACAAAAAAAAAAAAAAAAAAAAAAAAAGTAATTTCACAAGAGCCGTAGCTGAATTTCCCATGCTGGTTGTTGTAGCTTTCAAAAGTTTCCAGGAGCGTGGAAAAATGTTTAAAATCTTCGACGACGCATTTGTTTGGTTCTTCAAAGGTTTTAGTGAATTTTGTGCAAACCCTACAGTTGAATTTATTTATTCATTTACATTTTATTTTTAATTTGAGCCGTTCCTAGGCGAAAATTGAGAAGCATAGCTGGAAGTTTGCTAGAAAAGTTTTCCCCTTGAAGGACACTAAAAATTTTATCTATAATTTACAAGTAAAGAGTATAGCCAAGAGGGCCAAACGAGCCTCTGTCAAATCGAAATGTGTCACAGAAAGCGTTTGTTCACACACGACACAATAATTATGTACTTGTGAGAATCACTCAGTCGGCCCATGACGTTACGGCGTCACGTCGCTCCAATTGAGTGTTAATTGAGCCACGCAACGAACATCATTTGCCTCCTTTGCTTATTACTATAAGCGCCCACTTATTTACCATCTCTTGCACTTTCACGGTCTTTAATTTTTATTTCTATAACATGATATATCATGTGTATACATCGCGTGCGTGACGTAATGTGTAATGTATTGTTTATGTACATGGCAACACTCGAATTTCGCTCGCGATAAACACGCGAGATTTGACACCTTTAAAAAGTATATAACACAATGCATTACTGTGTTATAGGTATACCCAAGTGACACTACTGTCTACGTAAATGCCTCTAGTTTGAGTTTTTGTGTATTAATGGCCTTTTGAGATTATTGGCATTGCATCGCGTGTGAAGAACAATTCATTTAAATCTGCAAACAAAAAGATAGAAAAAGATCGCGTGTGAGCAAAAAAATGAAAAACAAAAAATGCACAATGAGATTTACATGTCATCGTGTCTCGTATCTAGAGCCACTTGATTGTCTTTTGGCTTCGCTGACTTACTTTGTTTTACTAGATTTTCAACTTACGCACGCCTATACTCTCTTAACGATTAGAAAATGACAACAATAATGAGACAGAAGCTACATCTAGTTGACGCAGATAAATGAAAAAAAAAAAAAGCAATTTATGAATCAGCCAGTGCTTTTTGCGGGTAACACATATTCATCACCATTGAAAAACGTTTTAAATACAGTATTTTACATATGATGTTTTTTTCAACCTACAAGAGTATCTACTAATTTTCCTTATTTAAAATATCGATACAAACGCCAGCTGCTGTGAAACAATTTTTGTCGTTTGAAGCCAGAAGGTACATTGACTAATAGAGAAGAACGTACGATACATAAAATACACCTCCATACGAGATTTGCTTTTGCAATTTTTTTTTTTTTTTTTTTTTTTTTTCTGCAATAAACAAAATACAGACTGTTAAGACATTATCTTTGATTTGAATTAGGGCTAATATAATTACACAGCTTAAAATAAGTAAAGTAATTACAACGGGTTCGACATGTTATCGGATAATGGGGTCAACTTTATCACTTTTTTTTTCTTCCTCTCCCCCTTATACCGCGTACTTACATTAAGTTTTAAAGAAAACAGCAGGGACATGTTCTTGCGCCAACTCAAACCTGCCTCTGATAAGATATATTGTACGTGGTACGGTTCAAGAAACTCTCGCTCCTCGATACACGTCTTTTTCCTCGTGACAATTTCAAGTTTTATCTTTTTTGCACACAACTCGACGAGGCTTGCACACAATATTATGGTGTACGATGGATGAAAAAAAAAAAAAAAAAAACAATCCTTAGTGTTGTTGAATTTCTCCTTTATCCTAACAGTATAGTGCGTCTGTGGCTATACCAGCTATGCGGCCCTCATTCCTCGAAAATAACCCAACGAAGATCGAGATTATCGGAGTGCATTGTACGCAAAAGGAAGNAAGTAAAGTTAGAAAAAAATTTCAATTATTTACTCTTTGAGTTCGTTTGATGTCTCTCAACTCACATCCCGAATGACACCACCGTACAAAACCACACTCCTCGGGTTATTCGATTCCCACGGTAAATATCAAGTACAAGCACTTCAGTGGGTACAAGTAAACGCGATCGATGATCGGTAAACACCCGTCACACGACCAAGGGGCTCGTAGCCCGTGCAATTTTCAGATACAAACAAACAAACGAGCCGGCGAGCACCACGATGGTGAGATTAACGACCAGCAAAACAACGTCCGTGCCCAAGGTCAATCGGCTCATCGGTGCCCCGGTAGTAGCGGCCCAAGGTAACCCCGGCACCGTGCCGTTCCCGTAGTACTGGTAGCTCCGCATCTTAGCCTCGAGCAGCACAACGGCCTGACTCGCGACCCCATCGCCCAGCTCGACCGAGCCCACGAACCACAAGTTGCCCCTTCCGTCGAAGGTGGGACTGTGCAGCGGAGCGCTCGGCTTCTCGGCCCACTCGACGTCGTGCCGGGTCACAAGGTAGGACGGGCTGTTCAGGTCGCACTCCAGCACGGCCACCGGCTCCTCCGTGGTGAGGAACATCACCCCGCTGCTGGACACGAGCATTTCGAACCAAGGCTGGGGCGCCACGCTCAACTCCTCGCTCGCCCGGCTGGCGTTGGGGCTCAAGCTACGGTCCTTGAGGACGCGGGTGGGCACCTGGAACACCTTGTGCGGTTCGTACGTCGTGTAGTAGAGCTTCCGACCGCTTCCTTCGGTGTCCGCCGGCGACAGCGACAGGCTGGTGACTAGGTCGTGGCTCAGCTCGACCTTCCACGAGGTCAGGCTCCGCACCGAGAAGACGATGACGCCCTGGTTGTCGCTGTCGTAGTCGTTGATGTAGACGAAGCCGCCGTCCTCGTGGTCCAGGACGATGTCGTTGAGCTCGGCGCTCTCGGGGCTGGCCACCTCGGTGGGGAACGCGTAGTTCTGGAGCACCTTGCCCCCATCCTCGAGGTCGAGGACGACCAAACGGGGCGGGCACTGGACCTCGCTGCTGCCGCTGTCCAGCACCCACATCCTGCCCACGGGGTCTATCTCAAAGTTCCACACGGACTGGAAGCCCGAGCAGTCTCCACCGATCTGTTGCATCTCCCAGTTGGGGTATGGCTGGAGCATCGGCGATCTGTTGCCACGGGGTGCGGCTGGGGTTACGGTCAGGGCGGCCGGCACGCCGGGGACTCCGTAGCGGGAGGTGGTCAGGTACATGTTGCCCTTCCAGAGTCTGATGCTCTCCAGGGTGTTGTTCTCTTTCACGTAAGAATTGTCCTCTACCGCTTGGCGGTAAGTCTCGTAGGAGGGCCAGGTGTAGTTTATGCCGTCTGTCCACTCGAACCGAATTTCGAGGCGCTCCTTGCCCAAGGCCCGGGCGTACACTGTGCCCAGTAGTATCGCGCACTGGAGAAGCATGTCTTTCCTTTTTCTTTTTCAAAAATGCGAAATCTAACCGAACTGCATTTGTATCGGTTTGATACAACGAAAATTGTCCGAACGAGGAGATTCTTTTTGTCAAACGAGCGGCAGAGGCGAGCGCCAAAGAATGCCACCAAAGCCAAGTGGTATGTACAACTGAGACGTAAGAGGGATATACGATAAAAACGTGGGGCTTTTTATCACCAATTGGTTCGATCGGTGCTTGCCTCTGCGTTTATGGAAAGATTCATAGCAAATAATTTCATTATGTATATCTCTTTATCTGAATTTTAAACCGAATTTTGCGAAATTGTGTGTGTGTGTGTATTTTTTTTAACGCATATCATCAGTGTTATCTGTATTTATGTGTGTCGTCCATCGCACTTGGTATTTCTACATTTGGTTATCGATTGGAGTTGTATTTCAATGCAACGAAAATTTTATACGAGAAAAGTATGCTATACTGTAGCATCTCCAAAAATTACGAGTTTCTATATTAATATACGCAGTACCATATTGTACAGTAATATTTCCACGTAATTAATTGACAATACCATTACATGGGATTGAATTATCTGCAAAATTTCTCAGCAACATTACATGTTTGCATCAATTTGATAAACATTAGGCATGTCCGAAATTTACTTTGAGAAGAGAAAATGTTTGAGCGTCCACTTTTTTTTTTGCGCCAAGTTTGCTGTCGAATGAGAAAAAAAAGGTCCGCAGAGTTGCTTGTACCGCGTGACGTCGCGTTACATCGACTGTTCAATAAATTGCTCGGCATCAAACGATCAAACCGTATTTCACTCAATCGGGTCACGTGAAATTTATTCAACGTGTTCTCAAAGCCTATTGCCATAGGTATGTATACGCTGGAGCACGAAAAATTTAATTTTGGCCCAAGCGTGCTTTTCATACCCTTTATACTTCGACTATCGATAAAACTCAATCAAGCACAAACGCGATGGCTTTTAATTAAATTTCGACTTGATTAAAGTCTTACGGTGATCTGAGAGTTGCTTAAATATTAAATACGCTTTTTCGGGGTGTTAAAAAAAAGGGGGGGGGGGAGAAATGATTGAAACATATATAGAGCACAAATAATAAATAAAAATCATGCGTGTATGAAAAAAAAGAGGCATCCGTGTTGATGTTGGAGGAAGAAATTGTTTCAGGCCCGTCCGAAGGGTGATGGAAAAACGCCGTACCAAGGCAAGAAGCGTTGCTTTGGTGAATACAAATGCCCGAAATGCAAGCGCAAATGGATGTCGGGAAACAGTTGGGCCAACATGGGCCAGGAGTGCATAAAGTGCCGCATCAATGTTTACCCGAACAAACAAGTAAGTTGGACAACAATTTGTTGCTCGATAAAACTCGAGCCTGGAAAAATATATACCTACCGCTTCCTCTACTGTCCTAAATTTTTAATAATTCGTTGGGAATTACAATATGTAAAATAAACGAGGCGCCGTACAACGGGGCAATTTACGTTGGAAGCAGTTTAAAAATAACTTGTTGTTTTTGCCTCTAATTTTGTTGATCCGACCAAGGCTACCGAAAAATACGCTCAAGTAGGGCGTGCAAACAATAAAAAAAACAAAAAGTGAAAATCACTTGTATACACTTACCAGAGAACGGATACGAGCCAGTATACTCCATAGGGCTCTTGTTTCAATGCATCATTTAAAATGTTTGAGGAATTACCTATATATTTCCGAGTGTTTGGGCGTAAACGCGGTCAGTTGCTTCAACAGCAACGTATCTAACGTTGTCCGTGTGTACGACTGAGCCGTGAATTATATAAGGTGCGTCGAGCTTTTCGGTAAACGCATAAACGCCAAGGCTAATTATAGCCGTAATTTCGCTCGATTCTTCTCTCTCTCTCTCTTTACCTCGACGATTTCTCTGCAAAAACGCGAATCCCGAGGGGCGCACGTTCACAGCCCTGTTTTTTACAGTACAGTCGTCCAATGAGTGAGTTGAAAAAAAAAAAAGACGTGAGCTGCAATTGCTTTGCCATGATACTTTTTATTGACAAGTTTTTTTTTTTTTTTCAATTAAAATGAAAACACCCGCGACAATTGG